ATAATTAATTACTCATTACCCGAACATTATTTATGAACTTTTATGATCGAACCATGTAAATAATGCATTGCTGACCATTCTTTAATCATAAAAGTGTATAAACTGTGCTCAAAAAGTGAGTAATTAACGATTTTGCATACTCATCGTCGTGTATATTCCTCCTATGCGCCGCCCGCGCATGCCACGGAGGAATAATTACCGAAAAACCATATCCTCGTAGACTTTAATGCAAAATTGAATTTGCTCGCGCTTATGTACTTGACTTTTCAACTTCGCGCTTATGTTTTAATGCAAAATTGAATTTGCTCGCGCTTATGTACTTGACTTTTCAACTTTTTTGTCCACGCTTTTCTCTTGCACCACTCAACCAATTCAACCGGATGACACGGTTGACTATTTTTGCTTTAACATGAAAACTCGCTCGCTCAACATTGTTAGGTTAGGCGCGAGCGCCTAATCAAACAGACCTAGTAATCTCTGCATATCATAGGTACACGTGCTTTGAAAACATCCATCTGACGCTACCTAGCAGTGAGCAGTGAAAGTAACGAAAAAATGCGCTTATCTGGTAAAATAAACAACTCAAATAAAAATCTAACACTATTTTACTATTCTATCATCATAAAGGAAAAATTTGGAAAATTTAATAAACTGCATTTTATGGCTTCAAAATGCGGCAACCGTCGACCATCATCGACGATATACAGTATAGTGTGTGAACTGTTCTGAACATATAATTTGCATCTTCACACCCACGGAATATAATGCAAAAAATATAAAATCAAAATTCATAAATACATACATAATAAACATATTTGTTTAGGAAAATTGAACAAGTAGTGCTATCTCTCCGTCAAACAGCCTGAACTACACGATTTTGAAACTGTAGTTTCGTTAGTTCAAATACTAGGGGAGAGATGGCGCCACCTGTTCAATATCCATTCAACTTCCGATTACTTTTTCTTTAATTACTTTCTTTGTAACAATTTACTGCGCATGTCTATCTTTTACGGTTTAGAACTGCGCAGGGGGGCAAGATTAACTGATTAATTCCCTGTGCACAGCACGGAACATTCCACTAGTTTATTTAATATTGATTTTATTGATTAATATGCTATATATTTATTATATATTTATTAGTATTGACTTTATGCTATTGACAATATATCGTGTGGGTTCGAAAATGCGAATTACGTGTTGAGAAGATGCACTATACTGTGTCTTGTTGGTAATATAGAGAATAACATTGAAATGTGTATTTTACGAAAAAAACCTAATTTCTTGTTTCTATGTTTTTGCGCATAACCGCAAGATGACACTGAGTGTACTGTTTCTAAACCGCGCTTTAATATAAAATTAAAAATGATAAAAATTAGGTTTTTGCAATATTTGTAACTACTTTAGTTACTCTACAGTAATATGTTGTTGTTAATACGGATATGAAATCAGTGTGAATTTTCGTTAAATTAGTTCGTTAGATTTATTACAAATTCGAAGTTATCGTTTATTTTAAAACACGTTATATATAACACTTCTTTTATTTAATTTGTTTATATAGAGTTAGTTGGTTACATAAAAATTGCATAAATGTTTCACGTTTAAATAAAAATATCACTAATCATTAGCGAATACTTCTAAATAAGTAGAAAGATATTTAAAATATTTAAAAAAATCAATTGAAAATAGGAATTTATTTTAATTTGTATATTATGAGCTTCACAGATATAAAAATTTATAAAACACTTAAATATATCAAAATTATGATTATTAGAATAAAGTAAGTACACATAAATTAATAGAATAAAATAACCAACTTTTTTATTTAAAATATAATTAATTTGGAAAATTATCATCTAAATAATGTATTATCTTATTAGATAAATATCTCTTTATATAATTTTATATTAATTTATTTAAATACAAAAATTAAAAGTAAAATTTTGTTTGGTATTTGTATACATTTTTATTGACATAATTACTCAAATTTTTTTATTAATTCTTGTACCTTTCACTCATGCAACAGACATGTACTCAAAGATACAAATATCATATTAACACTATATGTAATGTATATTTGTAGTTAAATTACTGCCAGATTAATTTAAATAAAATATGTAACACATAATTTTGCAACAACATTTTGTTCTATTTAATTTCATTCGAATGACATAATACCTCAAATAAAAATAATTCATAAATAATCTATTTTAAATTCTATACAAAATTACTGTTCTTGTTGTATTATTTCTAGTATAAAGTTATTTAATATAAATTGAAATAATTCATTATTTCAAATCGTTATATTTTAATTTCGTTTAAAACAGAGTGTACTAAACATTTTGTTGAGTTGTTATTTAATCACACAAAACAAACATAAATCGTTACAAGGAATTGTGTTTTTTTGGCAAATGTCTTACATATCCGCTTCTTTTAAATGCAGTGCAGGTTTTCTATTGTGATCATCATACCCACCGTTGCGCATTGCGAAGTGGAGTCGTATTGAATCTTACAGTATTAATTCAGATTGAGAAACCAATCATGTATTTAAATGTACATTGTAATGTTTCCTATGATATTTAAAAGATTTGTTAATTACGTGTCATCTCGTAATGTACCTTTCTAAAACAAATAATTGGTTACACGGAAGATCTAGAATTTGTATAGCAGCTGATGTGTAAAGATGGCCAAGTTTAATACAAACAAACAGTGATCAACGATACACTGGTTTGATAGCTTTCTCTGTATGTATAAGTGAGTATATTTCATTACCGAACATAAAATTCTTGAACGATTTTTCCTTCCTTAATTATCGTAATTAATTTCAAGAATAATTCGAATTTTATCGAGCATTTAATAATAAACTGACATCTATCTTGATATACTTAATAAAATTTCTCATCTACGACGAATTTATGTAGCTTTCTTTTGTCAAAATTAATCTACATAATTAAATTGATAAGTTTTTTATTGCTCTATCAAAATTTATTTGAAAAATAAGGAAAAATAAGGTATTGGAGTTTAGCTTTTTTACAAAAAATGAAGGAAATATTGTTAGCATATTGTTATTTCAAGAAACTTACAATTCTTTATACTTAATTTTTAATATTTATAGGTAATTAGTAACAACCCTTAATTTGTTGTATAATAAAAAATGGCATATGATCCACGCAATATAAAATACTCCTCAGAGATGCATAGCCATCAACATAACCAGCCTAACATGACTGGATATACGTATTCTGTGCATTCGGCACATGTTCAACAAACGGATGAAAATAGGAACGAGAACAACTGTGGAAATAAAGAAACATGCTCACAAATATCTCATCAATCTTCAGGCACACAGACTATTCAGAAAGTAGATGCAGCAACTATGACTGATCCTCTTCAAATAGACTTTAGACTTACCTCTGAGTATTTAGCACGATGTTCTAGTACATTGGGCTTACCATATGTAACTAAATATGAAGAAAATATTAATAATACAACACATAACTGTCAAGAAATTCGACCAAAAATTGAGTTTGAAGTTGAGCCACAACATATAAATGGTAGGTGTTTATGTTTTAACATAAAAATTCAGTAATATATTTGATACTACGTATTAATATTTTGTAAAATATTCCTGTGTGTCTTAAAACAGTTATTATAAATGTTTAAGGAGTGTTAATTTATCAGTGCCCAGAATGTGCATACAAATTTGAAGATCAAGAAGCATTACATGAACATCTTGAGGATCACAGACAACGACCTCATATTTGTGATATTTGTGGTGCAAGTTTAAAGCGTAAAGAACATTTAGATCGTCACAAACAAGGACATAATAAGAATAGACCTTATCAGTGTAATATGTGTTGTAAAGCATTTAAACGCAATGAACATCTTGCTCGACATATGATCATTCACTCAGGTAGCAAAAATCAAGTTTGTACAGAATGTGGTAAAGCTTTTTATAGGAAAGATCACTTAAAAAAACATTTGCAAAGTCATAATAGTAGTAGAAGTAAAAGTCTGAGTAGTTCACAGAGTACCAGCCAAAATAATGGTGAAGAAGGGTTGAGTAATTTTGCGATGATAATGAGGCAAACAGGACCACCACCGTTTTCTATTTTGCGTACTTAATATAATTTTACTTTAATGTTAAAGCAAAGTTGTTTTATAATTTAGACAATTTAAAATTAAGCGATTGATACAGCGAGCGTTATTGAAAACACTTTTACGATTATAATAGAATAGTTGTTGACAGTTCTAAATTTTGTAGTTATCTACTATTAACCTAAAGATACTACTTTCAGATATTAAAAAAAAAATCGGCTCTAAAATATTTATATACATTTTGTTTCTAATTGTAACATACTTCTAACGTGCACAATATTCTTAAAGTAAGAATGTACCTGTTAAAATCAATTCTTTGACATATTAGATATATACAAATTTTAAACAGTTTTATTTAGTAAATATTTATATAAATTATTCATGCTTTTTATATAAATTATGGTTGAGTGTAAGCCTAGTATTGTTGAATTTTTTTTCTAGGCTTTACATTGTCGAAGATATTTTAGATACATGTATGGAGATTATGAAGTGACTATTGCTTTTAAATTTAATCGGTATTTTGATTAAATATCTAAACCCATATTCTAAATTAAACTAGTCCCTTAAAGAAGACTAATTTTGAGATATTTTCTCTTGTCAGATAAATGTGATATAAATACTTTAATGTGCAGTGCACAACTAATTTTTGTTATGCTCAAAATATTTAAAGAAAATATGTATTTATTACATATGATAGGTAAATGAAACTGGATCTGTCTAATTTTACTTTCTGTTAAAAAGTAACAATATGAACCCCTTGGATCATGTGCCTAAAACAACAGTGTAACATTTACATTTTCATGTAATTATGAACAAATACTATAAAGCTAAAATTAAAAATAGTTTATAACCAGTGAGATACATGTATTAGTTCTAATAGAAAGGAACATTGCAAATTACACCATTCAACAAAATTAAGGAGCTCGACAAAAATTAAAAAAAGTATTATAAGAATCTTGTGTATTATTATGTATAATGAATTTTGTGTATTATTTAATGTGTATATTAGTTATTACGTTTAGTTTTACTTATTTATTTTTTTTTTTATCTAAATTATGAATATGTAATTTTAAACCAAACTTATGAAACTTGGTCCAATTTGAAAGATAGAATAATTAAAAAGTTCCTTTAAATAAAATAGTTCCTTTAACTAATTTTTGCAGTGTTCCTCAAAAATTATGTTAACTAATTTAGTATTTATAGTTTATACATATTGTGCATATGCCAGTGTACGTATATGTGTTATTGCTTGTGCATACCTCAAATACAGGGTGTCTTATTAACTTTATCCACCTGGAATATCGTTATTTCAAATAAACAAAAATGTTATTTATATAAGTTATACGGTATAAAGAAATATGTAACGTATTAAAAGTTCTCTTTATATAGAAAACTAGAAATCAATTTATTTTTTCAAATGGAATAAGAACTTTTCAAATAAATGTACTTTTGTCCTCAGAATTTGGTTCCATCAAAATCCAGTGTAAAAAGTTCTACATTCCATTTAAAAAATACAATTACACTCTTATATGTTCCTACATATAAAAAGTTTATATTCTATTATGTATTTCTTCATACCTTACAACTTCTATAGCATTTTTGTTTATTAATTGAAATAACAATGGTATTACAGATGAATAAAGTAAGCACCCATATAAACATAAATATGCGTATAATGTATGTTATGTGTTGTTACATATGTACATACAGATTGTTTCAAAAAGATTGTACATAATCTCTGGAAATTATAGATTCTTTCATAGATCTATCATTTTGCAATTTCTATTGTGATAAACCTTCATCTAAAAATCTACTTTTATTGAAAGCATTTTGGTGAAAAATTTCATAAGTTTGAATCACAGTTGATCTAGTATCCATTACCCATTATTTATTTATTCTGTCATAGAGAATCTGTAATTTTCAGGATATATCTTATTGAAATATTGAATAGATAAATGTTACATTATACGCGTATTTACATCTAAAACGTTGTTAAGTCGGATATATTATTTATATTTATTAAGAACAACCGAAAATGTATTGGCTTTATTATATAATGCTTCCAAAGTGTATATAAATGAACACAAATATAAAATATGGTTAAAGAAAAAAAAATCAGTCTTTTACATCTTACGGACACTAATTGTTTAAAATAAGTGTAGACACCATTTTTTTAGTACTATAGAATCTACAGAATCTACAAATACTTGAACTGCCAAATTTTTTAATTGTCTCCCTAGACAAAAATCTTACCATATTGTAGTGAGTGTCTACACTTATTTTAAGCATCCTCTATATATATGAATATTTTTGGACATAATAGGGAATAATAGGAAGGCACAATAAATAATGAAAGTCAAAACATAATTTTCTCAGATGACTTTTCATACAAGTTTTATATATAGAGTATTACATAAAGCAGCACTGGGAAATGTTCAAAAAAATGTTTACAAACTTTAAACTTCTATCCTTGCAACCTAAATTCGTCTGTCTGTATTTATACCTACATTTCTCCTTTATACGTTTTCTTGTTCTCAAACTACCATTGTAAGTCTTGCTTTGTTTTTCAAACCGTATCTCAATTTCCTCGTCTTACGTTCTTGAAGATTACACATTTTCATGCACTCTATACAAAAATAAAACGCTGAGATCATCAAAGGGTTCGCATAATTATCCACAATTTCTCTTATTACTTTTTTTCTTTCTTGTTTCATCTTATTTTCCTCTCGTCCCGTTTATATCCCTATCTCTCCCCCCTCCCTCTTTCTTCTCGTCTGTTTTTTCTCTTTTGATTTACACACGACAAACAAATGGCATATTTTATTATTTTCCTTTGTACCCTGGAAGACTACGGTACAAATGTTTCCAAGAGAAACAAAAACCGAAAATAATGACGAATTCAAAGAAAAATTGCTTGTCTCCTGTACGCCGAGTAAAATGCGTTTGCAAATGACTATTTTTCCTTTGTTTCTCTTCCCTTTATTATCTATCGGATGTCCGGAAAATCCACAACCAGGAATGCTTAGATTCTAATCATAAGAAGAACGACGTTCTTCTCATCGCACTATTTTACGGCAAAGTAAGTACATACATTCAACTGTGTAAAATGATTTCTTCCGTCGTCGTAAAACTCGTTCGCTGACTGCAGTCGCGGCAGCGTCAGTTCGTTTAAATTCAAAAAATCATTTCATTCGAGAACACCGCTACTGAAGTCGCCAAACTTTCTAAAAACAATTTCTATTCAAAGCATCCTGCGGTTTATACAAAATATTTATCATTCAAAGTTTGACTAGTCTATTACAAAAGTACCATCATTTGATCGGGTTCTATGTAAACTACTTCGCGAGTCCGCGCTATTTCGGATAACCTATAAAACGTCAGCCTTTTGCAGTTTCCTCGGAAACTGTCGTAGAAATCGTAGTTAGTATTGCGTTACTGATTTTCGACAAGTGTTCAAAAAATCTTTTAGCTTTCGAACTTGGCTAGACAAAACTCTTACCACAACATTTAATGTTGTTATATCCTGTGTAATAAAAATACTATTTCGTATATGTTTGTCTAAAAAATGTTAACACTTTGATAACCACATATTTCATGAAAACGATTCTTGTAATTTCATACATTTTATATCAAAAAAGAGATTACGGATTTGTTTAAAACATCACTTCTTAAGCATGAATCAAGTAATCGCTATACCGTAGGAAGAATCATCAGTACAATTGGGTACACGTCTGTCTACATTATCGAGTACGGATAAGCTTTGCTTATAAGAAGAAAAGAAAACTTCATGTACGTCGCGGACTCTCCGGCTACTCGGTAGATACCTATTTTACGCGTTAATGACTTATTTTGTATGCGTACTTATTATATCCCTAGGCTATTGGAAAAAGAGGAGTTTAAATGCTTTGTACTATGTCGAGGAATTTGTATATCTTTCCATATTTTCCTTTTCCGTCATTGCCCGCCTCCTGTTGTGCTGACGACGTCTCTGTTTGAAAAACCGGTAATCACATTTACGCACACGCGCACAGAGGACGCACGCAAAAAACTTAGCACACACACGCCGACTGGACAAGCCGAGAAACTGAACCACGGCAGCTGGATTCTCCGATAAAATATACACGTAAGAAACAGCGCCTGTTGGTCCATGCAAAACTTCTGTATCGTCTTCTTGGAACCCTTCACGGCCTGTGTCATCCATGTATTCGTTTGATCTGCTATCTTATATTTTAAGCGCTTTGCTTATTGTTTTTCATTCTTCAACCTTTTAACTTCTTTAACACGTTGAATACCGTAGTGACTAGCATATCTTTACATAAGTGTAAAATTCACTATGAATAGGGTACACCCCTATCAAGATTTTAATCATTACACTATAAAATAGTGGTGGGCAAAGGCACGATGAATAAAAGTACAAGTGCTGTGCACTTGCAGGCAGTAATTTCTTAATTCAGAAATTTGAAAGTTTTTTAATTTTCAGTTTCTAACATAAATTCCTGAAATTGGAAATTCGAGAATTTGAGAAATTAGAAACTGAAAACTTTACTTTTAAATCTACAAATTTTCACTTTCCAAGTTACTAAATTTCTAAGTACATAAATTTGCAGATTAAAAAATTTAAAAACTCCTAAATTTAATTGACAATGAAAAATTTCTATATTTCTGATTTTTTTAATGTCCTACTTTCCAAATTATTTTTACACTTTTAAATTTGAAAATTTAACCAATCAATTAATGTTTAATTTTATTAATTAATGTTTAATTTTATTAAACATAAACAACAGTCTGCATTATATGTATCTTATACATTATTTCAGATAACAATTGTGAATACATTATAGACTGAAGTTGTTTAATAAAATTAAATATTTTTAAAGTTCTGTGCAAAATTTTGTGCATATAAATTAATTTTCACTGTAGTAGTCAACGTGTTCAGAAAATTCATATCCAAAGCAACAGATTTGTAATTTTACAGAGTTCAACGGTTATTTTGAAAACAGTTAAATTAATGGTGAACATGTGTCTCAAGGACGACATTCAACCGTGAAGGATTGACACGCATAGTAGCTGTCACTTATGTCTATAGTTTACTTAAAAAAGAAACGGCTATTCGGTGAATTCTATAAAAAATTATCTCAAAAAATCTGCTTTACCCCGAAGCGATGTATTTTTACTTGGTGTTCGTACTTAAGTCTATCCATTTTGTTTTTTCAGCTCATTATATACAGAGAGTGAAATACGCGGAGAGGAAGTACGGTCGCGGACAACGTATGTTTCCTTCGGTTAAAAAGGAAGTGTAGATTCTTGTTCTTTGCGAACAGGGAGGATAAATTTCAGAAACCGAACGTGAGTGGTGGAAGGTCCTTTTCTTTTTTTATCGTATTTCCCCTTAACCGAGGGAAGCCTATGTTGCACCCGAATATACAATCAGCTTCTCCAACACAGAGTGTTCGTAATATGTAGTATATGTAAAGGTAGCGATTCTGCATGATGAAATAAAATGCGTGATCAATTTTTTGTATATACACTTCGTTCTCGAGAAATTAATTCTTTTTAATTTATTGTTAATTGGTACTTTTTATACGGTTGTTTATAATTATATTGAATTATGTTTAAACATATAAAAATGTTTATAATTTTTAATTTTTCAATTAAAATTATTTTAATTAATTATAAGAATTAGTTTATTTATTTTAAATAATTTTAGTTCAAATTTTTTAATTTCAAAATGGCAAAATTTTCAGTCATTTTAAAGTTCAAAATTTGTATATTTTTAAACTTCAAAATTTTGGTTTTCAGATATGAAAATCAAAATACTTGAAAATTTTGGTTTTTTGACATAAAAATCACAAATCTTGAAAATTTTAGTTTTTAGATATGAAAATCAGAAATCTTGAAAATCAAATATTTTTATATACAAAAACTTGTAAATGTGAAATTAAATATTTGTAAATTTGAAAAATAAGTATAGTTATAATTTAAACAATAATTGTGTTAAATCGAAACTCGCAATATTCAAAATTCTCAAAAACGAAGTAACATACAAGAAAATTTCATTGTATTATTTTTGTATAATAAACAGACATATCTACTCCCTTGTACTACAAATTATGAAACACCCCGTATGAACGCGCGTTCGAAGATTTATTGTACTTTTTTTCCCTTTCTCTTTGTTCGTCTCTCTCTTCTTTTTTGCATGAACCAACTGAAATCTGTAGCTCATACGCGAAGTAACATTCGCACTTCACGCGGAAGCCCTTAATCGAATTCGCTCTTGACTCGATCTCGAGTATTACGATTAAGAGTTTCGACACTGCGTAGAAAAATATGGTTCTCATTGTCATCCTCGTAATCTATCAGAGAATCGCGTTTGATTTACAACAAAGTGTTATTTTAATCTTTTAGGTTTTTTTTCATCCCTGATCGAGCAACTACTTTACGTCTGATCGCTCATTGAAACAGTCAGTTTTCACAATCGCCACACTGTTGATTTTGACGAATCAATGCTCGAAATTTTGCACACGGCGCGTCATAGAAAATCGGGACTCGTTTTGAACGACGAAATCATTTTCTACATTCATTTTCTCATCGGTTATTACAAATTTATTTCGAGCAATGATTTCCTTAGAACTTACTAGAGTTTATCGCTGTAAATCATAGTACAAATTATACAAAATTTTGTTTCACGTAATTAATCCTCTATGGTACAAAACAATTCTTTTACAATTTTTAATATTTCTGAAATGATAAATTTAAAAATTATTTCTGTATTTGTTAATTTTTTAAGTTTCTACGTTTTTAAATTTTCAACTTCTTAGCTTTGCAAATTTAAAAATTTCAATTGTTACATTTGTCAAACTTCTCAATATTTTTAGACAAAATTAATTTATTTTTGACATAATGAGTTTTCATTTAGAGGATTAAATAAACGCGGAGCATTCGAATATGGAAAATAAATCATACAGATTCTCATAAGCTTCTTATCAAGGTTTTTCCTTTTAGTTTTGTTTTTTACAGTTTCGACATAAACCGCAAAACGAGATCTACGCAAATTCTTTTATTATCTTTTCTCACTTTCGCTCGGTCATTCGTTCCATCTCTTACTCTCTTTAGTTCGTGCAACTTAGGCAATAAAGGCCTATCTCTTACGACTACTTATGCTCTATAAAACGCAATACTTATTATTAATTAGTCGCTACTGTCGATTACACAAACGAAAAAAGTTCCTGGTCAATACTGAAAAGTAACAAATTATTTTTATAAAAGTGTCTTTCTCTTCTTTAGGCGTTTTTGCTTTCATAATAAATTGCATTTCCAAAAAACAATCTGCCAAATGAAATATTTTTACAAATTCCACCGAATAAAATTATATTAAAATTATGAATTAATTCTGCTTACAACTTTTATCGTTCGACGTTAATCATAATAACAGTAGTAATGATACTGCCATTAAACCTTAAAACATTTAAAAATTAAGCCACAAAACGATTCGAACGATACAAAAGATTTCTTCATTCTGTCGACTGTCACCTCCTTTTGACAGCATACGTCTTTTCTCTCTTCAATCATTTTCGCATTATTAAAAAATATTTCATTTTCGTTCCTCTCTCCATCGCCCGTTAAGCCTCTTTTTGTTCGTCCTTTAACTTGTTCGCGGAGCAAAAAGAGTCGGATGGCGAAAAAACGATGAAAAAGTTTCGAACGGGAGACGAAAGAGGAAAGGAGCGTACACAGGGTGTCCCGAAAAGAGCTACGCACGAGGCCATTCCATGGACTTTTTTTTTTTTGACTTACAAGGTGGAAAAAAGTATGCAGATGCGGAAAAGTCCAGCGCTATACAAAGGCACCGGAGAATTGTTTTTTTTTTCTTTCCTTCTTTAGAGACGCGTTAACTATTATTTTATCCCTTCATTTTCTTCATTTCTCTCTTTCTCTCTCTAGGAACACCAACTACGCCTATACCTCGACGAAGTGGTCGGTTTCGAAATATCTTAAAGGAAGTCAAACTGTCCGCCTCGTCGAGAGTGGAAATATCAGGTTCTTTTGGCTACCTTTCAAAATAGACCGCTTCTTGAGCCTCTTATTTGTTTAATCTTTCTCCCTCTTTCAAAAAATCGTACTCCAAACTTTGAAAAATCTTTTTTCTTCATCTACCTCTCACCTCCCTCTCTTCCTCTCTTTCTCCCCCTTTATCTTTCTTATAAATTGTATAGCTATTTGTTATTATTTTCATCGCGTAGTTCATCATTTTCTGTTTCGACAAAAATTTGATATCTTTCTTTCGCGATAATATATAATATATATATAATATATATTTATTTATAACTACGCACGTGTCAACGTTCCTTTTCTTCTTTTTCTTTTTTCCTTTTTGTGTAGTCTCTCACAGGCTCTCTCTTTCGCTCTTTCTTTCGATTATATACGCACTCACACACTCGCGCTCTGATGCATTCTTTTTCGATCCAACACTCGCTCTTCTCTTGTGCTTCTCCTCGTCTTCGACTTATATTGTAGTAATCTTATTTTTTTCCTTCTTGTATACAAACTTACATCGCTAAACGTATAACCTAAGATGTACTCTCTGTTCTTTTTCCTCTTTATGGTTACAAATACAATGGCGGTAGAGTATTTTTAATACAGCTCATTCTTTTTATATATATATAATATATATATGGCTTTTAATATTTATATAATATACTTGAGGTCTGACGAATCCTGAATTTTTCATGTTACCTGCTACAACGTACAATGCTAGAAATATGATGCGGAAGGATTGATGACAATTGGAAGAAGATTAGATATTTAAAATAAATTTAAGCCTTTGCGGTCCTAGCTGATTTATGAAGAATTTCATTAATCACATTCAAAAAATATAGTAAGATAAACTATACAATGATAAGCATGTTAAACTAAAACTCTATTTGAAAAACAACAGATTTATTTAGTATATCGGATTAAGAAAGCATAAAGATTGATTTATAAAAGTAACATAACATAATATAGTTATTTTAATTGAAAATCTATATAGAGACCTCAGATATTAAATATGTGTATATTGTCAGTGTTTTAGAATATTTGTGATCAATATAATTTATCAATATTTGAATATTATCAATAAATATTAAAAACACTGAAATATTAACAATATATATTGATCATTATGACATATATTGTAAAAATAACTAAAAGTGGAAGTAACGTATAATCATTGGCACACTTAGTATGATAATTGAAACTGTATGTACTAATAATTGACGCATGAAAATGTATTAATTTAATGAATAAAGTATTCATAACACCTTTAACAAATGTTAAAAAACATTACGTACTGCATTTCTGTCAGTTTTATTCATAAAATTAATCAAAAGTTTGAATACTTTTAAACAAATAATATTCAATATAGAATTCTAATAGATCTTTACTGCAAATGTACTAATAATTAATTCAGTACCAAAATTAGTGTACTGTAAAAAAATATTCTTAAAATCTCTTCATACGTAAGTAATTGTATCTAAAATATTAAATAACAATTCTAGGACCATGTCAAGAGAAATCCACTAAAAAAGATGAATTAAAATACATCAACAGGTAATTGATATATCTTTGTTTGAAATGCTGTACAGAATATTGTCATTTATTTTATAAGAAAGAATAATGAAATGTTTTCTTCTCCCAATAAATACAATAAATTTAATTTCTTTCCTGTGACAACGCATCATATTTCCAATTACGTTCACAACGTTTTGCTTCATTCATTTTTTTTTTTGTTTTTATTTCACATCACATAAACGTATTTAATATTGTTGCGCATAATACTTTTAGTTTGCGCAGTATGTTTGAGAACTGATATATAATATTAAATACCAAAAGAATGGCAATCGACAATCGTTAATTAGAATGCTTTAACCTTTGTGATAAGGAAAGTATCGGCAAAAGGAGCATGAAATAATGGCACACTGAATAATACTAAACAGATAAGTGTTAAAAAAAAGAAAGAAACAAAATTCAGACAAGTTAAACAATCGGAACAAGTGTAATTTGTCCGAAACGATCACAGTCCGCGAGAATAACTTTCACGATGCGGATAAACATAAAAATATAAACTTGCATTTAGCGACGATTATTTTGAACATTATCGCTATATGTATATATAATAATAATAATAATAATAATAAACAAGAAAAATCAAAAGTACAGTACGTTTAACGAAAAATCTTACTAACACGATCAGTACTCAACGAAAGTTAGAGATTTAACGAAAAATATATATAAAAAAACAATGTAAAAACGATATAAAAAAGCGATGTAAACTCGCGAAGAACTTACATACAAAAGATTTAGTACGATTTTGAAAAATCGTAAAAGTATGTATACGTGTATAAATACATATATAAAAGTATATATGGAAGTAAAAATTTTGGAACTATGTTCTAGAAACATAAAATACTGTCAACTTTGTATATAAACGAAATGAAGTTAAAAAGGTAAAATAAATTTCTTTTTACCAACTAAAAGTATTGCCACATTTTTAGCTACAGCTTCGCAATGTTTGATTAAAATAACAAATAACTCGATTTAAAACGAAACATTTTATAAAATCCACGGACAAATTGCGATTGTACTCAATTCTTTTCAACCAAGATAAAAAAAAACAAAAATGTGACTAATATTTTAAGAACATTTCAAACTAATAAAAAATTGAAAGACACTACGTGTTAATCGGTGGGATGACTCGCTTGCATCCTTTACATACATGTCTGCATTCGCGCAGTTTATAAAATGCTACAAAATAAATTTATAAAAAATTCATCGAAATGCAAATAAATCATTTTGACCGAGAAAAAAAAATATCTTCTATCATAGTTCAATTTTTTCGCTTACAAGAAGCTTTATCGTTTAATTAGCTTCTTCGTATTTCTTTTGTATTTCACACCAAGCCTTCATAAAAATATGTTTCGTTTTTCATACATACAGTATGGCAAGACTCTCATCAGGCTCTAATCTAACGCTTCTGGTGAAAATTATGGTTTCCTTTTTCGTGCGTGCATTGAAAACACTCTCTATGTCTTCTTCTATTTTTTTGATCATGTACATACGTGTATGTATATATGGCACATTTTTGAAGATAATATCTAGACATACAGATCTTAAGATAATACCTGAAGTGTAGATAATAAAACTGTGTACAGCGTTGAGAGACTTACATAAATGTCACAGCTTTTGCACTATTGTACTAGGACATAGAGAGTCAACGAAATCATGAATTAACATTATAATCATGAAAACTCGCTACAACGCAAACGAAGAAAAGCAGTTAAAAACTTACTGCTTAGAAGAGCTTGTATAATTTATCAATTTTGTCACCTCTTAGTTGAGGTCTTCCCCTGCTCTCAGAAATCTTTAGCATGTCCCAAAAAACTGAGGTCGTGAGTTTGATAATGGCTGGACGTAGCAAGTGGCGTGACGTTAGATTGATGGGCCACGTTGACGGCTGTTAAATGATGATGATGCAACGAATGATGAGAAGTATGTGAATGAAGAATATTGTTTGGATGGGGAACTTGAAAGTTCCCTGGTGGCGGGGCTCAGGACAGGAGAGGACCTGGGTGTCCACCAGACAGAACAGACGATGCTGTAACAGCTGTAGTTTGCATGTTTGAAACATTGTTTTGCTGTTGATTTTGCTGTGTACCTAACAAACAAAAATTATATCACTAAAAGTACTTTATATTTCACTTACATCAACAACAAAATGTTTATCTTACCTGCATTTTGACTGAGCTCAGCTTTTACCCTTCTTGCAATATGACTTCTGGTATGTTTCCTTAGATGATCTTTACGATAGAAACCCTTTCCACACTCTGTACATACGTGTCGTTTCTCACCAGAATGGATAACAAAATGTAACGTTAACTGTTCTTTTCTTTTGAAAGCTTTTAAACAAACAGTACACACGTATGGCCGTTCCGGATTATGACTCTGTTTGTGACGTGTAAGATGATCCTTTCTTTTCAGACCTGCACCACAAATATCGCAAACAAATCTTCGTTCTAAAGTATGGCCTAAAAGATGCTGTTCCAATAATTCACGTTCTGGGTATGCCATATGACATTCTGGACAGCAATACAACGTAGAACCATCTAATGCCGTAGTTAAGCGAATTTCACCGGGTTTCGGTCGTGGCTTCTTCTCCTTAGGAGCCTTCTTCTTTTTTTTCTTTTTATTATTTGGAGACATCATTATATTAGGCGTTGTCGTGGTTGCAACAGCTACCGAAGTAGTCTGTGCCATTTCTGATTCCTTTTTAATACTTTCCGCAGAATACTTTAAGAAATGATGTAAACTTAACGGTAAAGTACTAGCTGGTAAATGACTGAGGTAATCTGCCACCGTAGAACCAGGGGTGGCTAAAGACTGCCATGTAGCAGGCATAGTTGCAGGAGTCTGAGTATGAGCATGCTGCTGATGATGCTGATGCATTGTATACTCTTGTTGATTACCATTCGTAGTAGTTTCTCCATTACGCTGTTGTTCGTCAACTTTCTTTTCCTTACTTTTATCCTTATCCTGTAGAAGATTGCAAACGTCTTGTTGATTTATAGTTTCTGTCGCTTGCTGAAAAATGCCAATTCACTGTAAAGTATTGTCGTATCTTAAAGTCTCGAGGCCATGCAAAGATCAGAAACTCACCTGATGGTATGAACGCTTTTCAGGCATTCCAGGAGAATTTGAAGGTCGCTGTTGAACCGGTTGGGCTTGGGAATATGGCACATTCGGATAATGATGAACATTGCTGTTAGGATAGCTTGCTTTATTATTCATCATCACTTGCGATTGAGCAGATTGCACGCCGTTGCTTTCAGGACGGTACTTTCCCATAACCGGCACTCCAATTGGAGGCTGGTTGGGAAAATGATTGGCGTAACGCCCGCCCGCACCGCCGGAGCCGTCGGTCGCGAACTGATGGATACTCGGAATAGTACCGGGAAAATGGCCTCCGAACGGCGGGAAATTCATTGCAAAGCGTCAATCAGATACCTGAAAAATCAAAGAAAATCAGAATCAATATAATCATACGTAAGTTAGTTTCATCCAAAGTAAGTTGCAAACAGTCTTGCTAGTTCGTTTGTCAACCAACATTTTCCCACGATTAGTAACCACGACGTGTACATCGTCGATATTCTAATAAACATCGAATAAATCGTAGACGTGAATCAGCGACGACATGTGCTCGTACAGTGCATCGCTACCGTTTGGATAGGAACCGTGGCATTATCCGGTGAAAGGGGTCGAAAGTGCGACGACAATTATTCGGCGTCATCGACGGTACAAACGAAGGAAATATATACTCGCGACAGGGCGCGCAAAGATATCTGGCGCGTCCAGCTCGAACGACGCCCGAGTATTTACTCACAGCGACGTCCCTCTCCCCATGTTTCTTCGTCGTGGAATCGAATCCTTTCCTCGGAGGGGGGTCCCCGAGATCCGCGAGCGAGCGTAGGGGCAAATTTTTATAATACGAGAGACACAAGAAGCAAGAACACCACGCCGCCGCTGCTGCTGCTGCTGCGTCAGCCGTCTGTCACTATGAAGTATACACGGGAAACGGTCGGCGTTTCCCTTTTCTTAATCAGCACGACTGTTACAGAACGCAAATATATTCGCGAAGAACTAGTCACCTTCGTAGAACGAGGATTACGAACAGTTTACTGACTGTAGAAAAGGGTAGAAGACGGAAAAAGGACGTTAAAAAGCGAACATTGTACGCGGGCAGGATCGTCGCGATGCGGGGGAAGGGTAGCCGTAGAGGGACGACGGCGCGGAGAACGGGAATCAGAGGACGAGAAGAATGAAGGAGAACGGGGGAGGACGCAGGGGGGATGATCCAGCCAAAGGGATGGGTAGCATGCGCGCAGTGGGATGAAACGCAAGGGGAGAGGTCCGAGACTTTCCCCTCTCAGCACCTAGTCGATACGCGGGGGCCGAATTCGCACGAAATTCAGCATAAAATGGCCGGTGTTAAACGCGAAACATCACGAACATCACTTTGATAACTCAAATAATTCGTTAGAGAATCGGCTTACCATTTAGTACTTAGCAGGTGGTGCTCGCCTAGTCAAGATTTTCACCGTGTCGAGAATCTCCGAAAAAGATTCCCCGCTCCTATGTGTGTGCCGTTGACACCTGTCCTTCAAGTCAACGCCCCCACCCCATCCGTCCGCCCTCTACTGTGCCAGCCTCTTAACTATTTTTTCTCTCCCGGTCCTCTTCGCAGTCGCGTTGGCGAAAATGCCCGAATCCATCGGGATTTTAACTTCGAATTGCTCCCGGCCATTGTTTTCTCTCTCTCACCGCGATTCAATTGAACAAAGATGGAGATATACTCGTAGTCGAGAAACACCACCAATCAGAGAAAGAAGAGTACACTTGCATGCAATGTAAGCTTTTTTTGAATAAAAACAAGTGTAACGTCAATTTGCTTTCAGATACGAGAGATTAAAACTTGAAATTTTCAAATCTCAAAAGTTTTTAATTTTCAAAGACCAAACCTTTTCCTTTGTAAATTACAAATTTTTTAATTGTTAAATTCGCAAATTTCCAAATTTTCCAAATCCCTAAATAGCAAAATTTTCAAATTCTCCATCACTAGATCCCTAAAATTCTATAAGCCTAAATTCTCAAATTTGAGAATTTTCAAAATTCCGAAGTTTGTAAATTCTCAAATTTTTAAATTCCTGAATTTTTCAAATCACCAAATCTTTAAATTTCCGAAAGTTCAAATTTTCATACCTCCAAATTTTCAAATTATTAAATCCTCGAAAGTCCAAAGTTACAAGTTTTAAAATTTCTGAAATTTAAAATTTTTAAATTTACCAACCAAAAAACAGTAAATGGAGAGGTCTCTTTCCTCTACGCTGCCATTTTCCCTAGGGAAGCCTTCCATGCTCGCCGATGTACACATTAAAACTTAATTAGTAATATTACCCTCACCTAACAAAACTTATGTAAAATAATACGAAATATGAAATTAGGTTTAAGACACAAATGTTTAATTGAAAGTGCATTTAATTATATATTTTTGGTAAATTAGTGGGAAATTATATACTAATAAAATAAAAATTTAGCATAACAAAATTAATATAAAATTCTTACATGTTAATTAAAAATATGAATGTATGTAAGTACATACATAAAATGTAAATTTAAAAGATTGGTTTTCTCTGTACATATTGCCACCTGATAATTGATTTATTTAAAATTATGTTTTTAATTAACAATATTCTTAGCATAATTATTAATTAACAAATTAAAAATATGCGAACGAATACAAATGTTATACGTATAATTGGTTAATTAATAAAAGATTGTTTATATTAAATGTATGTTTTATTTTAGCTTTTTTCTCCAATATTTATGTAAGTAACAATGAAAATGACTTATAGACTATTCATACTGATTATGATAATAGCTATAATAATATAATAAAATAATAATTATATTTCTTGTACAGCTATACCCACTGCCTTTAATAATGATACTTACAATAAAAGTATTTTTTTTCTGTATACATACATCTTTTACTCAAATGATTTTGAGTGTATCGTGATTGATTGGTAAATTATATGGTTTATTCCCAACAATTACCTGCTGTAATTTCGTCGTGCACTTTATGATAATATATAAAAAATTTATTCATGTATGATCAACACAAAGAAGAGAACTGAAACGTCTCATAAAAATGATTAGTTTAGTAAATAAAACGAGTTAAATACTATACAAAATAAGTTATTTTAACTTATTAGAATTAAAGAAGAAAATGCTTCCCCATCAAATTTAAATACACAAATTTCATCGGTCATACTTTACGATAATCTTAACTTTGAGACAATATAAACTAATACAAGAATAATGATGTACTTATATTAAACTATTTTTTTTTTTGAAGTTTCGTAATTATACTTACATTTTCTTCGGATCAATTTATATCAATAAAGCCAAAAATATATTTACTTGATCAAAGTAAATATTAACTAATCAATATGTAGGTACAAATGTAAAATTTTACATTTACGTCACAAAACGCAGCATTTCTTCGTATAATCTGTGTTAAATCAAACAGTTTAACGATACACTCTCTTTCCGTGTTTCGATCGTGTAGGACAAATAGAATAAATAAACAGATTTACTTCGTATTTGCACGACAGTCTTTTCCCTTCTTGTGCACGGTAAACTGGTTGTATTTACAGCCCTGTTTTTTATTTGTATTTTATTTATTACCTTCCATATTACGTATTTCTCTCGTTACATTTATCATCAAACAAAATTAACGTCAGCCGAAAACTCGATTGCCTTCTGTCCGGCGAATCCAGTTCGCGCTTTCAAAAATATATTTTTATATTTATATATATACATACATATATATATATGTATAAATATATGTATATATAAACGTCTTTGTTTACTTCTAACTTGCGTCATGGAACTGGATTAGCGACAAAAACATTTTTCAATGAAACGAACAGGAAATTCATTTTTTCTTTCTCATCTTTTCCACACGTACGCTATAACGTGTACGCAAAATGAACATTATACGTACGAACTTTGTTCGTCGGTCAGCTCAGTGCGTTTTGCAGAATAATTATACTCGTACATTCAATCTGGCCTACGACTTCCATTAGAAGCTGATGGTGTATAAATTTTGAAAATGTGACGGCTCGTCAGTAAGTGTCTTTGTTTTAGATACAGGAAAAGATCTCGATTTTTGCAACACCACTACTAGGCAACGATAATCACCATCAACAAATTTTTCTTTACACGATACCAATTTAACTATAAGATTATAGAATTCAATCGGCAAGAATTCCTTGCCTTGCACGACCTCTAGCTTGTTGATGATTAAATCGGAAGTACCGCCCAGGTTGATTCGGGGCGGTATGCTGCTGCTAATGCTGCTGTTGTTGCTGTTGCTGCTGCGGCTGTTGTTGCTGTTGCTGCATGTACTTATATTAAACTATTTTTTTTTTTGAAGTTTCGTAATTATACTTACATTTTCTTCGGATCAATTTATATCAATAAAGCCAAAAATATATTTACTTGATCAAAGTAAATATTAACTAATCAATATGTAGGTACAAATGTAAAATTTTACATTTACGTCACAAAACGCAGCATTTCTTCGTATAATCTGTGTTAAATCAAACAGTTTAACGATACACTCTCTTTCCGTGTTTCGATCGTGTAGGACAAATAGAATAAATAAACAGATTTACTTCGTATTTGCACGACAGTCTTTTCCCTTCTTGTGCACGGTAAACTGGTTGTATTTACAGCCCTGTTTTTTATTTGTATTTTATTTATTACCTTCCATATTACGTATTTCTCTCGTTACATTTATCATCAAACAAAATTAACGTCAGCCGAAAACTCGATTGCCTTCTGTCCGGCGAATCCAGTTCGCGCTTTCAAAAATATATTTTTATATTTATATATATACATACATATATATATATGTATAAATATATGTATATATAAACGTCTTTGTTTACTTCTAACTTGCGTCATGGAACTGGATTAGCGACAAAAACATTTTTCAATGAAACGAACAGGAAATTCATTTTTTCTTTCTCATCTTTTCCACACGTACGCTATAACGTGTACGCAAAATGAACATTATACGTACGAACTTTGTTCGTCGGTCAGCTCAGTGCGTTTTGCAGAATAATTATACTCGTACATTCAATCTGGCCTACGACTTCCATTAGAAGCTGATGGTGTATAAATTTTGAAAATGTGACGGCTCGTCAGTAAGTGTCTTTGTTTTAGATACAGGAAAAGATCTCGATTTTTGCAACACCACTACTAGGCAACGATAATCACCATCAACAAATTTTTCTTTACACGATACCAATTTAACTATAAGATTATAGAATTCAATCGGCAAGAATTCCTTGCCTTGCACGACCTCTAGCTTGTTGATGATTAAATCGGAAGTACCGCCCAGGTTGATTCGGGGCGGTATGCTGCTGCTAATGCTGCTGTTGTTGCTGTTGCTGCTGCGGCTGCTGCTGCTGCTGTTGTTGTTGTTGCTGCTGCTGCTGTTGTTGCTGCTGCTGTTGCTGTTGATGATGAAGCATTGCCATTGCACCAGTTTCTGCGGCAGTTGGAAGAACAACCGTAGATTGTTCAGTAACGGCTATTTGGTGAATCTGTGCTTGAGAACCGGAGCCCACTTGTATTTGTATCTGTTGCAATTCAGGGACCGAAGATTGTTGTTGCAACTGATCTGCTTGCTGCTGTAATTGTTCCGCCTGTTGCTGTTGCTGATCTGTTTGCTGTTGCGAATTTTGAGAAGCATCAGCATTGTTCAAGGGTTCTTCCTTGATACGTTTAGCTAAATGAGACCTTGCATGTTTTCTCAAGTGATCTTTGCGATAGAATGCTTTACCACATTCGGTACAGACTTCAGTTTTTTGTCCCGAATGTATAACAAAATGAAGATTCAAGTGTTCCTTTCGTTTAAAACCTTTCATGCAAACTGAACAGATAAAGGGTCTGTCTGGATTGTGGCCCAACTTGTGTCTTTCTAAATGTTCTTTACGCTTTAAACCTGCACCACAAATGTCACAGATGAACCTCCTCTCGATTTTATGCCCGATAAGATGCTGCTCCAAGAGTTCTTTCTCAGGGTATGCCATATTACATTGAGGACAACAAAACAATGTTGTACCATCGAGACCAGTAACGATGCTTACTTGTCCTGGCTTCGGTTTTTTTGGCTTCGGAGGCTTTTTCTTGTACTTCTTCTTTCTTTTCGGTTTCGCTCCAGGTTCTTGTTCCTCGACAACATCAGGAATAATAGCAGTTTCTCCACTCGCGACCGTAATCTGTACCGCTTGTTCTCCAGCCACAACACTTCCAGACGCGTCCAAACCATCCGCTCCTAACGGACTCGATTCAATAGTAGCTTCTCTCTTTATTGTCTCCGCTGAAAATTTCAAGAAATGCTGTAAACTAAGAGGCAAGGTACTGGCAGGTAACCTGGATAGATAATCTGCGACAGTTGATCCCGGGGTAGCAAGACTTTGCCAACTAGCAGGCATAGAAGTGATGAATTCCTCTCCACTTGGATTAGCCTGAGTCTTTATGCTTCCCCTTTTTATAAGAGCAACCGGCGTTGTACCTTCCTTAACGTCATCTTTCGATTCTTCCATACCCTCTCGTAAAATTAAATCTTGCGGAATCTGTGCGACGACGGTTAAACCTTCGGGTGCACCTGGTAACTGCACCGTTTGCTGAATAGTTTGTTGGGATGTAGTAGTGACTGCCGTGGATGTACTTTGAGTTGTTTGGTCGGACCTAAAATAAATATGGTTTATTAGCGTTTAATATACTATGAATGAACAGTATTTATATCTAGTAATTGCTGGTATAACAGAGATTCCCAATGTATGGGTCCAAATTCATTTTGGATAGATCATACAAAATATTAAAATATTACAAATTTCGAGTGGTAAAGTAATATTTTGCACTCAACTGCCTTACTGCTTTTGATAATTCAAGGCTTAGGAATCTTAGGACTTTAGGACATTAAGACTGGAATGTGAAATTTTTGAATTTGTGTCTTTGGACCTTGAAATTTCAGTTCCTCAAAACTTTGGGTTTTTGGAATGTAAAATGTTTGAAACTATAAAATTTAGAAACTTTGTAAATTTGGAATATAAATTCTAAGCGCTTGAGACCTTGAAGAATCATATGTCATAAAAAATATCCATTTTTGAATTTGGATGAACTCATACAACTCTGAGGATCGCTGTCACATAGGGTCATTTAAAATGAACCCTTACGTTTGCGTCGTAGCCACGGTGTTTTGCGGTTGAACTTGAATCTGTACTCCATCTGCACCCTGTTGACTATACGCGACGGTAAGTACCGTTGCTGTACCCTGGGGAAATTGTCCCAAAGATATCGGTGCCAAATGATACTTTGGTTGATCACCACTGTTTCCACTTTGTGATACGCTGGGGTTGACCACCTGGATTTGGACGGTTTGCTGCTGCTGCGTGCCATCTTTTCCAGGTACGGTGATGGGCAGCGTGATGATTTGCTGCTGTTGATTATTACCCCCTTGAGCCACGGCGAAACCGTTCGGGTCGACCGGCCTTAAATAATGAACCCCACCTTCGCCACCGGATAAAACACCAACAACCTGACCTCCAGTTGGCAGGTTTTGTGCAAACTTAGCGGTTGCAAATTGGTGAACCGTACCCGTCGGTAGCGAGCCTGTTGTAAAGCCGGGAAAAGGTGTGAAATTCATCTTCCACGATAATTAAATCTGTAAACAAAAAAGAAAAAAATAAGTCAAAAACTGATCAGTTATAAAAACAATTTATAAACCCCAAAATTTATAAGTGCCAAATTTGCCATAAGTTATAAAACAATTCATATGTCTAAAATTTAATAAACAGTTGGTACAACTTGAATATTTAATACCAAACATAAAATAATAAATGTTTTTATTATTCGTTTAATAATTCATTAAATTCTAACGAGATGTTTTTTAATTTATGACTAAGCAATTAAAAATAGATGAAACAGTTGAACAGATAGGTAGATATGGATGAATCATATACATGACGCAGTTGCACTCACTTTGACGCATGAGTATTGCCGTCGAAGTGCATCAACCTTCATAATAATTTCAGTTGCAAAACTTATTTCGTGCTTCCACGAAACACACATATGTTCTTTGAGCCTTCAATGTTTCTTCGACAGACACGTTTAGAAATAAACACTCGAGTCTATATATCATGTTGCTATATAAGAAAAACCTACTGCAAATCAATATCACGTATATATATATATACAGATTAATCGGAATTCTATTTATGTACACAAAACCGGAGAACACTTCATTATAAAATGCTCGACAGCTTGTCTATACAGAAAACGGCGATTTTATTGCTCTCCGTATTCTTATTACACTTGTATCCATTTCCTATGGTTCTACAGGTGGTTGGGAAACGTGTATACAGCTGCTGAGAAAAGATGCACGCTATGTATGCAAAACAAGGATCTCTTAGGTGCACTGGAAGGTAACTATCATTTGTTTTGGTTGGTAGATTTTGAGAGTTATGTCACTTCAACATTAGAAATTTGAAAATAAAAACCTGAAAATTTGGAATTAGGTGGTTTAGAAATTTGAGTTTGTAAGTTTCAAAATTAGAGATTTAGAAATTTAGAAAATTAGGTGTTTGTAAATTTCAAATTAAGAAATTTGGAAATTTAGAAAATTAGAGATTTGAAAACTTCAAATTTAGAGATTTGGAAATTTAGAAATTTGAGTTTGTAAATTTCATATTTAGAGATTTGGAAATTTAGAAAATTGAGAGTTTGTAAATTTCAAATTTAGAGATTTGAAAATTTAGAAATTTGAGAGTTTGTAAATTTCAAATTTAGAGATTTGGAAATTAAGAAATTTGAGAGTTTGTAAATTTCAAATTTAGAGATTTGGAAATTTAGAAAATTAGGTATTTGTAAATTTGGAATTTTTAGAAATCTAGTAAATTTAGAAATCAGAAACTTTTCAGGTTTGCATGATCTCCTAAAATCGAAAGTAGGACACCTCCCTCTGTACTCAGCTTACATTATAAGCGAGTGACCATATTTCATTATACGATCATACTATTATAGGATGAGTCATTTAAATCACTGCCTTCATATAATAAAAAAATTTATTATAGAAGTTATTTAAAAAAAAATTTATTATTATATTGATGTAATAATTTTTTGTGAATAAACTTGTATAAGAAAGAGTGATCGATTTCTAAGTCTCTAGAGTGATCGATTTAAAAGACTCACCCTATATATCGTATGTATTACAATCAAGGTTAATGTCGACGATACATCAACCGAGAGAACAACCTTCTTCTATTTATTCAAAAGGTATAAAGTTAGTAAGTACTTGAACTCGCGCCTTTCTTCATCAGCGTTCTCGTTCTCCCTTCATCTTTGAAACAATGTATTTTGTCATACATATATGTTATAGGCAAAGTAATGATGCTGCTTTTGATATTTTATTAATGCTTAACGATATATCGATAATATTGTTAAATTTAAAGGTTAAATTGTAACGCATAATTTTACCATTCAAATCCATTTTTGGATTTGATTTGGGTTTAATTTTATCATTCAAGCTTGTAATGTTACGTTATTAGCGTATATTAGATTAAATTATGGCAAAATATTTTATTAGGTTAGATTTTGTCAGACTAGGTTAGGTTTAATTTTATTATATTAAATTTTATCATCCAAATCTGTTTATTCTTATTTAAACTGCAGATATAATCAAACCTAATTTCAGGCAAAAAAAACTTGGTAAAATTACGCGTTAATCACAAATTTGCTTTAACGATATTTGGATGTTCATTAATAACATCCATAATTCGGAAAAATCGACTATCCATCAGTGTCGGTGACTGCCCGCCACTTGCAGGTCCGTATACCATATCCTGCGGGCACAGTTAACCATCACTGATACAAAGGAACCCCAGATTTCAAGCAGTATAATTAGTTGAATCGATTGAAGTAATTCGTGCTTAGTGTTGAGAATAAAATTATCGTACGCTCAGTTGATTGATTCCAATAGAGACGATGATTCAGTGTCTCTATATGAATCAACCAATTAAAATCATATATGATAATTTATTCCCAATACTGTTAAGAATACCTACGTTTAGATGCGGTCAATGAAAACGAGAATACAGTTAACTCGATAATCTTGTTTAGGATCAATCTGCTTTTTCAAAGTATCGATTCTCTAGCATCAATCCGATCCTCGTATAGGATCACCATCGCTATTGCAATGATCAGCGCGGTTTACACTTTGCCTGTAACATAAATATATACACATGATCCAAAGCGTTTATTCGTGAAAGTGACTTTAGTCAAAACTCAAGCATTCCACCACCTCTGTCGCCGAAGTCTTAACTTCAAACCTCTTGACCGTGTATTGGTACGTGGGGGGTAGGGTGAGAGATCCCCCCACTTCACCCCCTCCCGGTCGTCAAAGGGATCCGGGAGCAGGGAGGATAGTCGTCGAAGTGGCCCAGGATTGCACCCCACTCCACAATGACGGTGCCCCCACGGGGGTAGGGGGTAGGAACTCAACACAAGGGTAGGGGGGAACCCATAGGTGGGAAAACGGGAACCCACCGCGAAATAGAGCCCGAGACTCGCTCTCTTTCTCTCGCGCTAACAAACGGAATATCGTAAGAATAGGACGGGAAGGAAGGACGGGTCGGTGTGTAGGTGCGTAAGCGTGTGCCGCAAGCTCGAAGCGGTAGGGGTATGTCAAGAAAGAAGGGAGACGAACCTCGACATACCGGGAACTCCCCGGGGAGGGGAACGCGAAATATCGGGAGAGAACCATACGAAGCAGACATCGCGGCAGACGAAGTGGGACACACCGATGACTCTCGCCCTTGATCCACCCGTGGCAGAGAAGGAACAGAGAGAAAACGAGGGAGAGAGAGAAAGAGAGAGGTTAGGTTACCCGTGCACCTCTCCTCCTTTCGACACACCGAGGAGGGTGCCGTGTCGAACGGACGATTACTCCGTGCCAGCTAGTCGTTGCGGGTGGTGCACGACTTAGTAGAAAAAAAACTAGCGTAACGCGAACACGCGTGAACGAACGCTCCACCTTGAACGTTTTTCGACTTTCGCGGAATGGCGTGTGCGACTGACCGGTCAGCCTCGCCGACGTACCGTTGTTGGACGCTTTTGCAAGACGCGCATGTCGTAATGGCGCCGATTCTCTTAAGGTTCAACGTGTCTTTCTCACTCTACACGGTCGTCTCTGTTGCGTGCACACATCGAAGAGAGAGCATGTCTGAACATTCGCGGTTTCTAGAGGAATTCTAGTGTCTCGTATACATATAACTGGCGCGCAGCTGGCTTCGATATCGGGGGCAGCGTACGTGAAACGGAATAGCTCTGGATTGTGCAATCGGATACTTTTTACCAGGAGAAAAAAAAACGTTTCTCGGAGGCGTAACGAGATAGGATTAAAACGAAATAGGAAAATGCTACAAAAGATATCGACTAAAGGGGGTTGATTCAGACCACGAGCAGCTATAACCTTAAGAAAATACGATGATATCGTGATTTGTACGAACGCGTACGGTTACGTGGACGGGACGAATAAGGTTACCGCACGTCGACGTATTCGATGGACACATCGGCCATGATGGAATCGAATACGATAACGTGAGAAAATAGCACGGGTCCGCGAATGCCGAATGCTTTGTTCTCTCGATGCTTATTCCCTCTCTTTCCCTTTCGCCCTGTGCCTCTCCCTCCCTTCGGTGCTCTTTCGATCGCGCATCGGCATCGGGAGACGTTACGCGGAGAGGAAGTAGGAAAAAGATCAGGCGAGTTGGCAGAGGCAAGAGCAGGGCAGAGGCGAAACGGAGGACAGAGTAGAGCCAACAGAGGCACAGGCAGGGCTGTTGTTTACACCCCCACCTC